AGCAGCGTCGGGAGAAGATAGGTGATCAGGTTGAGGCTTGAGGAGTACAGGTGTAGGCAGCCAAAGGAGAAGGGGGGGACGAATCAACTAAGAAAACGAATGCAGTACACGATGGCTGGGGGGATGATCCACACATGTGTGTCATGCATACGTGCCTTCTTTTGTCGGAGAGCAGCATCGATCGGCGGCGAGCGAGAGGGGGAAATGAGTAGAAGGCCTTCTAAGAAGAGGACAGGGCTTCTCGGGAACCCTCGCGTCTTCTGAGAGGTGTCCTGCGTCTTCGGGGAAGGCTCAGAAAACTGTTCAGAAGGCCGGGGGACTTCCGCGCCTTCGGAGAAGGCCCGCCCCTTCTCACTTCCCCCTCTCGTTCGCCGCCAGATCGAGGACGTACGAGCGCGAGGACGAGGCAGAACAAAGGCGGCAGACGAGGGACAAGGTTGACTAACAGGTCGGATACAGCCAGGACCCTGGGTAAAGGGCAGCAGGAGTAGTGGTTCGGGGCCCAGAGCCACAAAACATGCACCATAATCATGAAACCAAGTCTGCAGTAGTTGGTGTTTGTTCGGGTGACGGCAGTTCCGGTCAGTGCAATGAGGCGGGGGGTACATTTCATCAAACCAGGCCCCACGAAACACAGTCCCGCCATCGCCCTAAATAGGTTGATCCTGCCAAATCAAGGGTAGCATTGTGTCCTGTGTTTCGCGACCCATGCCTCCAACATTCCTATGGCAATGTGGCTCTCGGAAGGGCCTCATGTCCTCTCGCGTACTCTCTCCAACCAACCCCGATTGGATCCTTGTGATCGGTATCACCACATCTCGATGCCGATATTACGGATCCCCTCAGTTTCCGAGGGCGCATCCTTGAGATTGTCATCGCCTTTGGGCCTGTCAATCTTCGGGATAGGGATGAGATGGAGGTTGGTTAAGTAAGAGCGGCCGCGCCCAGGACCGCTCGCGTAGTTGCGCCGCCGCCACGGCCGCGAAAGCGGGGGAAGCGCCGCTCTTGGGCCATCTTGGCACTCTTTTGGGCCGCTTTGGGGCCCTCTTGGTGCCCTCTTAGGCCGTCTCGAGGGCCGTCTCGAGGCCATCTTGGGCCATCTGAGGCCGTCACGGAGGCTTCCTGGGCCGTCTGGGAATGCTTCGGGGGCCCCAGGGAAGCAGCATGGCCGCCCGGGTCCTTCGGCTGGAGCTGCGGTGCACGAACCACTCTGTGGGGAGAGGAATAGGTTGGTGCTTGCCAGACAGCACTTGGCATTCTTCCACGCCTCAACGTGCCAGGAGGCGTGTGTATATATATACATTTATATAGGGATATACATACACATGAATATACATGTTCGTAACATATACACATATACCATATGCATACACATACACGTACACACATGTATTCCTTTAAAATACAAGTAGATGTACATGCCTAGACACGTGCTTAGACATATGCCCGTTTACGTACACATATGCATATGCGCATACACATGCATGTACGTGCACACATACTATGCAATCACACACATACATATATATATATACATATATATATATATATATATATATGTGTATATATATATATATATGTATATGCGTAGATGCATCCATGCCTGCATGCAAACAAGCATACACACATGCAAACAGGCGGACCGACAGGCAGTCATGACACACCTGCGTACGTACATGCATACATGCATGCATGCATGCATGTCTACACCTATCTACATATGCATGTTTGCACATACATACATATATGGAGCAGGAGGATCTCGGCAGCCCTCCTCCCGCGGGCCAGCGCGGGGCGAGGGCCATCGGGAGCTCGCCCGCTGTGGCCGGCGGCGCCCCTCCCAGGATGGCAGCGCGCGGGGCCGGTGCGCGCAGCTGCGCCGCCGCCGCCGGCCGCCGAGGGCGCGGGGGGAGCGCTGGCGGCCGCCGAGAGCGCGCGCGCGCGGCGGGGGGGCCGAAAGAGCGCGGGGCGCGGCTGCATAGCATCAATCAGGAGGGGAAAAACACACAGACACAATGAATCGTCGATCCCCCAGAAAATATAGGAAAATATGGGAAGTGGGGGGGAAGACAGAAACCCAGAAAATATGGGAAAATATGGGGAATCTTTTTATTTGTGTGTATTTATTTATGTGTCCTGGGGCCCCTTCAATCAAGCAGTGGCGAGGAGTCCTGGCTTGCCTATATCGCAGGCCTAGAGGTTGACACCAACACCAAGATCGGCGGTGTTCCTCCACCGAGGGGAGCAGATCCCGATCTCGGCGATGGTGGTAATATTATGGCTTCCAAGGTGGCCGAAAGATTACCACAAACACCGAAATCTAGGATCACCTCCCCCTGTGGAGGCAGCCCTCTGTCTTGGTGTTGGTGCCCAGTTCCAGGCCTCCCACTATAGTCGGCGGCGAGGGGGGGGGAGGTGAGAAGGAGGAGGCCTTCTCAGAAGGAGGCGAGGCTTCTCAGGTGAGATCGCAGGCGAGGCGAAGCCTCGCATGCGATCTCTGAGGAGGAGGCCTCCTGAGCAGCGGCGATCTCTGGGAAGGCCCGCCGCTGCTCGCTTCCCCCCCAGGCGCGTCGCCGATTCCTAGCGTCAAGCAGTGGCGAGGCGTCCTGGCCTGCCTGTAGGCACACCGCAGAATGCTCTGAGAGCCCGTTGTAGTTTGCACGGCATGCTCTCAGAACGGATTTTCGGGGGCAGCGATAGGGGGCATAATTAAGGGGGACGCATCGACCCCCAGTCGTCCAATGGTTGCCGAGGTGGGTCACGCTAGCCCCATCCTGCACAGGAAGGTGCGGATCCATGATCGGCGGCCTATCGCCGATCTATCGGCGGTGTATCGCAAGATCCAGGTCGATGGTCGATGCATCCCCCCGAATGCCAGTCCCCCCGTAGAGTTGCCCTTCATATGTGGTTGAGGTTGTCGTGTTTTGAAGCATCGGCTTTACTCTCCAAGAACATTGCTGTTGTTATTAGGACACTCCTCCACTCTAAAGACATCTCGTGGTATGCCTGCAGGAATGCCGGAACGGTCGGCCCCTCATTAACTTTTCAATACCAGCCTGGAACACATCCCTATCCCTATGATTCGTAACGCCTGATCTCGATGCCGATCTTCCGGATCCCCTTAGTTTCTGAGGGCGTATTCCTGAGGGTGGCATCGCCTTCGGGCTTGTCAATCTTCGGGATAGGGATACGTTCGAGGCCCTTTCGGTTCGACCAGGTTTGTTTAACCTTATTCGGTGTCAAGAACTGGTTTCTGGCCCTGGGACCCCCGAAAACGGATCCGGTGAACAAAACTACACCAGGTGGACCCTTTGAGGAGTCCGGGGACCGATTTAGTCTGGATTTGCCCTTATCCCCCAGTGGGCGATGCAAAAAAACAGCGTTTTCACCGTCATTGGCGCGCAAGTTGTCCGCGCGAGGTCTCGCGCGAGCGCCCTCACTTCCAATGTGGCGGGCCGCGCCGGCGGTCCGCGTGAGCCGCTGCGTGAGGTCGCTGTGCCATCTCGCGTACGGCCCGCTTCTGTTCGTCGTACGTGTGTCAGGAGGGGAAAAAACACACAGACACAATTATTTGTTGATTTCCAGGGAAATATGGGAAAATATGGGAAGTGGGGGGGAAGACAGAAACACAGAAAAAATGGGAAAATATGGGGAATCTTTTTATTTGTGTGTATTTATTTGTGTGTCTTGGGCGCCCTTCAGTGTGGCGGTGGCCCTCCTGGCTTCCGTTCCCTCCCGGGCGCCCCGAGCGGCACGACCGTGGCCCTGATTGGCGGGCCCTGCCGCCCGCGCGGAGGCAGGGCCCGCAGGCGCCCTCCTGGGGGGCACGAGCGGTGTCGGGGGTGAGCTGTTTGAACAAGCGGCTTGGCGACTTCGTTCTGCGGCGCATTCTCAGATGCTCCCAGAAGAGGGGAGTGGAAGGAGGAGGAAGGGAAGAGGGAGGGGTACAAGCAGCAGCGACAGCCGCAGGAGAGGGAATTGGAGAAATAGGACGAGGAGGTGGCGACTCGCCACGCCCTCCTCCCCGACAGGTTCTTTTGCTCCTACCCGAGGTTTCTCGTCGATGTCTTGCCTCCTCCTCCTCCTCCTCCTCCTCCTTGTCACCATCATCGTTATCATCATCAGCATCAGCATCATCATCACCATCATAATCAGGTTCAGCATCATCGTCATCCTCATCATCATAATCAGGATCAGCATCATCATCATCATCATCATCATCATCATCATCATCATCATCATCATCATCATCATCGTCATCATCATCATCATCATCATCATCATCATCATCATTATCAGCATCGTCATCATCATATTATCCATCATCACCATCACCATCATCATCTTCATCATTAGCATCAGCATCAACATCATCATGATCATCCCCATACTTGTCATCATCATCATCATCATCATCATCATCATCATCATCATCATCATCATCATCATCATCATCATCATCATCATCATCATGGTCACCATCGTCGTCATCGTCACTGCCATGGGCAGTATCAGCATTATCATCATCATTACCATCACCATCATCACCACCACCATCATCATCATCATCATCATCATCATCATCATCATCATCATCATCATCATCATCATCATCATGGAAGCGACGGGGTGCCGATGTACGTATGCGTGTCATTCCCTGCGACAGCTCAAGGCCCACCAAACCCATCATCATCATCATCTGCGTGCTCGATGGCGTCAGGCAGCAGTGTGTAACCAATGTCCCTGGTGTGAACGGTGTTTTTCCAGCATGGATACGGTCCGTCGACATCTTGAGGCTCGAGGGCAGAAGCTTCCACCGAGCTGCCCTGTCCGTGGGGGTTCAGCCATCTCAGGCCTGGCGACACTCCAGGCTCCCGCAGTTCTCGCTTGCCCGTTCTCGTGCACGACATTGGTTTTCTCTTCCCTACCCGCTCTCCACGAGCACATCAGATCGCACTTTGCCGAAGGGACGTACGTGGAGCCCTCTCTCGCCGTCGCAGATGGACAAGCTGATGACCCTTCCCTCGGCGACGCCGGCGACCAAGCACAGAGCGGTGGGTTCGGCGGGCATGGATCAGGACGTGAGGGAGTTGGCCATCAACACGGCCAAGAGCGTGGTGGGCATCGACAGCTCCAACAGGCGAATCCAAGGCGTGCTGGGACAGGTGGCGCTCGTCGACGAACATCACCCATACCTCGAGCCGATCAAGAAGGGAGCCAAAGCCTACGAGCAGGAGAAGCAGGCCACCACCACCTCCGAGGAGCGCTCCCAACTGGTGCCCTCTCACGTTCGCGCCTGGATCGAGCTGGTGAACTGTGTGCGAGCCGACAAGTCAGTCCCAGACAAGAAGAAAACCGCGCTGATCGCGTACCACACCAGCCAGTCGGACATCAATGCGGTGGGAGCACACGTGATCACTTGCTTCCAGAAGAAGTGCTACCGTCAGAAAGCGTGGGGCGACAAGGACAGGTTCAAGATAGAGCTGCTGGTCATACCCGAGGTGAGGACGGTGGCAACAGAGATCATGAATGCCATCGCTCTCAAGCCAGAGGTGGAGATCGAGAAAGGGGCCCTCCACGCAATCCAAACGTTCGGAAAGTGGTCGCGGGCCTCGTGAAACTGGGCGAGTTCCAGGAGCAGCCGCAGTCGTGAGATCCCGAGAGTTGGGAGTCCATGCGACATCGAGTGGGCCAGGCTGCGGAGTTCGCTCAGAATTCAGTGCTGCAGTTGGCCGCGATAGAGGTCGTTCTGAGTCCAGAGTTCACTACGATATGGGGAGGTCGTTCTGAATCCAGAGTTCAATGTGATGGAGTCCATTCCGAATCTAGAGTTCATTGTGAGAATGGAGGGCCAGCGGAGTATCTGAGAGGCCTCTCGGCTTATCGTGAGATCCCTTCCCCCTCTTCTAGTGTGTGCAACTCGAGAGATGTTTCGCGAAAGCGGAAGCTTCGTGGGATTTGAAGTTTTCGACCGCTGGCGTTTTTAGTAGCAGTGGGCGGCATTCAGGCGTCTGAATGCGCCCTGCAAGCGTGTGGGCGGTGGCGGCCAGCTGCCGCTAGTGCCGCTCCAGTGCTTGTTTGGGGGCCAGTGCTTCGTGACGAATGGTTCCGCTCGCGCGTTTTATCTCGTCACCTTGGAGTGCGCAGCAGGCCCCTCGTGCTATCGAGGGGGCCTCGACTTTTAGTAGGCCTCGCGACCGTGATTCCAGTTGGCTGTCGCTCGTGCACCGTGCTTCGTCAGGCGAACAGGGAGTCTCAACGTAGAGAGAGAGAGAGAGAGAGAGAGATCATCATCATCATCATCCTCATTATCAGCATAATCATCGCCATCAGCATCAGCATCATCATCGTCCCCCATCAGGGTCCCTCGTGGATGGCCTTGAACGTGCCCTGTCGTTCTGCTTCGGCACCCGGCGCCGCACGCGCGGGCCTGGCCACGGCCTGAAAGTATGAGAGGCCTCGCAGCGAGGAGATCACTAAGTGAATGTCCCCGTCGAGGAGAATGTCCCTCCGCCGACCTCAGTGAATGTCCCCGTCGAGGAGAATCCCCGACGGGGGCATTCACCGAGGTCGGCGGAGGGCGGGCGCGCTCAGGACCCGCGGGGGCAGCACGCCCTCCGCAGACGTCGTCGGGGCCCGTCGTTTACGCGCAGGGCTCTGGAGCCTCAAGGTCACTTCGCTTCTGCGGCCTTCGAGGAGGGAAGGAAGCACGCAGGCACAACTAATCACCTGAGAACGTATGGAACTCATGGGAAGGCGAGGGGAAGGCGAAGGTACATGTCGAAACTGTGGGACATCTTGGGATTTGTGTCTATTTGTTTGGATGTCCCTGGGCCCCCCATCCGAGTCGGCCTTGCCTAGAATCGGGATACATCCGTTCCAGAACATTTCGGAATGCTCGCAGAGCATTCTGGAACGCTCTGAAACGGCCGCGGCGCCCGAGACATCCTCCAGAGCCGCTGATTCTCAGAGACTCCCGATTTATATTGGTCTGATGTTGTCTCGAATTTTCTGCTTTCGAAAGGACCACGGCGCGGAAAATGTGGAAAATATGGGAAGTGGAGGGGAAGACGACCATGCATAACATACTCAACATACAGGAAATCGTGGTATTTGTATACATTGGTTTGCGTGTCCCCGCGCGGCAGCCCCGCTCGGATAGGGCGAGGACGCAGATAAATCCGTTCCAGAGCGCTGCGGAACGTTTTCGGAGCGTTCCGAACGCTCTGAAATGGCCGCGGCGCCCGTGAGATCCTCCAAAGTCGCCGATTCTCAGAGATACCGATCTATGTCGGTCGGATGCTGTCTCGAGACATTTGCCTTCGAAAGGACCACCGCGCGGGAATTTTTTAAACAATGTGGGAAGTGGAGTGGAAGACGAGCCTCCAGAAAGTATTGGACATATGAGGAACCTTGGTTTTGTGTACACGCCGGTCGTTGAAAATATGTGTTTTGGGATATCCATATCCCAAACTACTTCAAGCGCCGTCTACCTTCTCCAGAATCGGTATGTGTTTTTGCTGCTTTCTGTTTTTATGTGGGCGGGCCCGAATCCAATCTATACTTTCGCCGCCTTCCTACTTCATCTTCTTACCCACAGTCAACGCGCCTAGTAAGGACGCGCGCCTTCATCTAGGATACCCTTGTGTCCTTGCCTCTGCGGCCCGTCCTTTGCCGTTTTCACGGGTCGCCCGCCGCCCAAAAAACACCCAATTTCGGCTTCCGCGGATTTTGTGTCCTTCCCACCCGCACTTCACACACGTTTCGATGGTGTCTCTTCCGACCGGCGTGGGGGGCCGAAAGGCCGCAGAACATGTGGAGTCCGATGACCAGAGGGCCGCGGAGCAAGCGGCGTCGGGGCAGCAGCAGGCGGCGCAGCAGGAGGCAGAGCCGGGGCATCCGGTGCCGGGCGACTGCGGAGGGCCGTGCTCCACGCCACGGGCGCGCGAGCGGCCGCGCGCGGGCAAGCTCCCAGGCAGAGCGTGCGAGGCTCGGGCTGGGAGTAAGACGGCGCGAAGATCGGGACAACATCGGATCGGGATAACTCGAAATCTCGGAGAATCGGCGGGTTTGGAGGATGCGTATTGGACGCCGCGGCCGCTCCAGAGCGTTCTGGAACGCTCTGAGAGCGCTCCAGAACGCTCTGGAGCGCTCCAGAGCGTTCTGAGCGCTCGCCCTCATGAAGAAAGCCGGGGGCCAGCAGCTCGTCGGCCAGGCCCCGCGGGGCTCCCTTGAGCGGCGCATCCAGCTGCTCGACGAGCTCAAGCTCTGAGCGTGGTAGCACACAATGGGTTTTTCAAGCGTGGCATGTACGCATAGATGCCATACGGATGTTTTCTACGTTGCCACCCCCCCCCTCCGCTGCCTGCTTTCTCCTCCTCTCTCCTCGCCCCTCTTCCGCGGCTTCTGCTGTCGCGTGCTCTCTTCTTCTCCCGGCTCCGTGGCCTCTATCCCGCTCCTCTCGCCCGTCGTCGCTCCCTTGTCGTCGTCGTTGCTGGGGTGTGGCAGGGAAAACGCATGTACGCCTTAGGCGATGCTTAAGAAAACCCAAGTTTTCGGCCAGAGTCTCGATTTTCCTTAACGTTTCAACGTAAATCCTAAGATTTTAATGGAAATGTGGGGTTTTTATTCAAGTTCTGAGACTATGAGTTTCTTAACCCATGATTTCTTAAGCATTTCGAAGGGTGTACGCGAGTATTCTGGGGCGGGATCCTATAGCCCTGTTTCAGGGAGGGCTCTTGGCGCCGGGCGTGGCCTCGCGGGCGCCCTGCGCGCGTCTCCTCCCGCGCGCGACGAGCGCCCCGCCCTCCCCTCGCGCGACGCGCGCGCGCGCCGCCGCTCCGGCCCCGCAGCCGGCCGGGCGCGCGAGCGCCCGAGCGCGGGGCGCGCGCCCGGAGCGCGCGGGCCGGCGGGCGGGGCGCGCGGCGGAAGGAGCCGCGGCAGGAGGCGAGCAGTGGCGAGCATCAGTGGAAGAACCCAGAAGCCTTAAAACAGGGCTAGGATCGGGATAAATCGCTCCAGAGCGTTCCGGAGCGCTCTCAGAGCGTTCCGGAACGCTCTGGAGCGGCCGCGGCGCTCAATACATCCTCCAAACCCGCCGATTATCAGAGATTTCGAGTTATCTTATCAGAGATTTCGAGTTATCCTGATCCGATTTTGTCCCGATCTTCGCGTCGTTTTAAGGCGACGGTCAGTAGCATCAATGGAAGAACCCAGAAGTCGGGGGTGGACAGTCCTCCTACCCTGACACGTCGATTGAGGAATCGGCCGTGTTCGGCTCGCGAGAGGGCGTCGCGGCCGTCCTTTTTGCGGGTCCAGGTCCGTCGGTTTCGGTCCCAGGCCGTCTTCAGTAAGGGGAGAGGTCTACTAAAGGGAGATTTGTCCACCGCCGATACAGACAGGAGGGGGGAAAAACACGCAGACACAATGAACCGTCGAGTCCTCAGGAGATATTGGAAAAATATGGGAAGTGGGGGGGGAAGGCAAGAACCCAGACGATATGGGGAAATATGGGGAATCCTGTTGTTTGTGTGTTTATTTGTCGGGGGTGGACAGGCCTCCTACCCTGACACGTCGATTGAGGAATCGGCCGTTTTCGGCTCGCGAGAGGGCGTCGCGGCCGTCCTTTTTGCGGGTCCAGGTCCGTCGGTTTCGGTCCCAGGCCGTTTTCGCTAAGGGGAGAGGTCTACTGAAGGGAGGTTTGTCCACCGCCGATACAGGCAGGAGGGGGAAAAAACACGCAGACACAATGAGCCGTCGAGTCCTCAGGAAATATTGGGAAACTATGGGAAGTGGGGGGGGAAGGCAAGAACCCAGACGATATGGGGAAATATGGGGAATCCTGTTGATTGTGTGTTTACTTGTGTGTCCCAGGGCCCCTTCATACAGGCCCGCCAAATCGGGAGCCTTGAGATTGGGGTCACTGCAAGCGGGGGTCAGCCAGAACGCCCGATCTTGCAGGAGCCTGCAGGGCCAGGGTCGCATTGACCCGGGCTTGGGCGCAGGATCCTCCAGGATCTACCGCCTTGACCCGGGTTTGGGTGCAGCATCTTGCAGGATCCTGCAGGATTCTGCAAGGGCTGACTGACCCGGGTCTGGATTGTTCCGGGTCAGCAGATCCCCGACCAAAGAATGTTCTGATGAAGTCTTGTGGTTTGCACGTGGTGTTCTCAGACCACTTCCGGCTGGAACCGGCTTGTTTTCACACCTCGAGTAATTATTATGCTCTAGCAGCAGTGTGTTGCTTACGAGAACACTGCCGGGTTCTAAGAGCATGTCGTGGTAGGCCTAGTTGACTCTAGGAATGCCGGGGCGGTCGGTCCCTGCTCAAATGAGCGGGGCGGGCGCGACGCTTCGGACGGCGCCCAACCCAGACACGATCGTGTCGTAGCAGGTCACTCACCACCCACCAAACCACCCCAACCCAACCCGAAGGTCTCGATTTGCCCTCCATTTCCAGTTCGGGGGGGTCGGGGAACATCGAGAAAACACATATGGAACCCGTACCCCCCCCCCCAACCCGAAATTCGGGTCTTCGGGTTGGGTTGGGGTGGTCCGGTAGGCAGTCAGTCACGGCGGGAGGCTTGGCCTGTGTCACGGCTCTGGCCGTTGTCCGTCGCCTCGCGGTGTGCACTGCTCGGCCGCCACGCCACGGGCACGGCGCTGTCGTGGCCGCGGTCGTCGTCGTGGGCGCTGCGGTCGTCGCGCGGTGGTGGCCGTCGTCCTCGTGCTCGGCCTCGTCGTCGCGCTGCGCGCCTGCCCCGCGAGGAAGCCACCCACGGGGATCGCACCTCGGGAGCCACAGAAAAGGACGTACGCGTGCATGAATCCACGCTGGTTCCGAGGGCACGCTCTGCGCGAATGCTCGCGTCACGCGGCCGGTCTCGCGGACCGAGGGGCCGTGCTCATGCACATAGCTGGGCGCGTACGTCCTCTCTGGGCTCCCTACGGCACCCACGGGGACCGCGCCCCCGTGCCCCCGGGCCGCGAGGGCACCGGTGCGGGCGCAGCTCCGGCACGGGGGCCGCAGGCCTGGGCACGAGATCGCGTCGTGGAGAGAGCGTCGGGTCGGGCGAAAGGGGGGGATTGGGAAAGGGGGGGTTACGAAATCTGCTGCATGCAGCTGGTTTCGGCCCCACCGAGGGGCCGATTCCTCGATACATGGTCGCCTCCGGCGCCGGGAGGCGCCAGGAAAATCAGCTACGTGAGCTGATTCTCAACCCCCCCCTTTGCTATCCCCCCCTTTTGCCCGACCCGAGCGTCGTGGAGAGAGCGGCAGCAAAGAGGTCACGGCGGGAGGCCTTTGTGGCCGTTCTCGGCCTCCCGGGGCCTTCGCCGGGCCCAGGAGCCGTCAAGAAGCGGCTCGGGATGTAGAACCGCTCCCTGGGGAAGGGGTAGAGGGTCGGGACTTCCGAGGGTTTTCTTTGGGGTGGAGGGCACAGGGGTGTGGAATCTGAGATGCGGTGTCGATTGGTCTGCGAGGCTCGGATCCGCAAAAGGTGAATCAGAGGACGGACTGATTTTCGAGTTGCAAGAGTCCATCTGGACGTCACCCTGAGCCCTCCACCCTGAGAAGACGCTCAGGACCTGGGGGGCCGCGTACAGTCGCCCCAGATTAGTAGGTCGAGCCTGCCAAATCATGGGTACCCTTGCGTCCTTTGCCTCGCGAGACCCATGCTCCCTACATCCCTGTGGCAACGTGGCCCTCGGAAGGGTCATGTGTCCTCTCGCGTGTCTTGTCCGATCAAGGCCGACTGTATTGACAAAAAAGCAGGAACGTCGCATGTGTGGTGTGGGGGGGGGGCAAGCGGGTGGAGGCCGCGAGGCGGCCGGGCCCTCGCCGGGCACTTGGGCCATTCGGGAGCCTCGAGACGGGGGTCAGTGCAAACGGGGGTCAGCCAGGGCGCCGGATCCTGCAGGATCCTGCGAAGGCCCCCTCTGGCTGACCCGGGTTAGGGAGCCGCTCGTGGCCGCGAGGCGGCCGCACACATTGGCTGACCCGGGTTTGCGAGGACCTGTGTTGCAGTTTTTTTTTCCCTGCATTGCAGTTTTTGGTTTCCTGCTGACCCGGGTCTGGATTGACCCGGGTCAGAAGATCCCCGAGCCATCCCAAAAACGATTCGGGACGAAAGACCGTTCCCGGGTGAAGTCGGGCGTGTCCCCCTACGGACGGCTTTCGCAGGAAAAAAATGCAAAATGTTCGAAGCCTGCCCCCCCAAATGGTAAAAAGTGATCGACAAATCGTCCCCTGATTATTTGTTGACCACCCCTGATTCTTTGTTGACCATTTTCCAATCTTCTTCCTGTAGAGGGACAGACCCGATTGAAGTCCCGGGGCAAGGGTCGGGGCTGCCGGGCCCGTGTATGGAACAAAAACAAGACGTCGCATAAGCACCTCGAGGGCGTTGTTTTTCTTCGATTCGGACATCGACTACAGAGTTGAATTGCTCCAGATTTGATGTTCTCGTTGAGTCACACGTCGGATGCTCGTAGATCTAAGGACATTATACGCATTTCTTCTGGACTCGACGAACCAATCAATGTTGGGGTACATCGATTCTGTAGTCGACCCCCCACTCGATTTCTAGAAAGCAGCAGTTGGGTGGGACACCTAGGCATCGGAGATTGGGGAGCACGGCCCCCAGGAAGATCCAGGTCTGTCCCCAGGGCAACGAAAAGGGGGCAACGATGGGGGGGCGTACGGGGGGACGCATGGAACCCCCAATACAAGATGCTACCTCCGATGGCGCCACCAGGTAGTAGAATTCGAATCAGAAACATCTCTGTAAACATGAACTGTCAGAGCCCCGAGGGGGATTTCTTGGATCTGCGCTTGCCCCCCCCCCTGGCGGCGCCTCCGGCGCCGCCCCTGGCGCGCTCCGCGTGCCAGGGCGGGGGTCCAGCGCAGATGCAAGAAATTCCGCGCGGACCGTCCAGAGTGAATGTGTTATTCAGTTCTTTGTACTCCTCCTCCTCCTCCTCCTCCTCCTCCTCCTCCTCCTAATTCCAGTTCCGATGGCATTTGCACGTGCACCTCCCTGAGCTATGTCTTTGTCCTCGGTGGTCTGCAGAGATGCCGATCGGACGTAGCCGAGCTCCAGCTTCGAACTTACGACCTCCTCGGGGACAACGATAGGGGGGGATGGGCATATGGGGGGGATGCATCGGCCCACAATCGCCCATTGATCGCCGATGTGGGCCCGATGGCCCAAACCTGCCCAGGAACGTACGGATTTGCGATCGAGAGCCTATCGCCGATCTGCCTGCGATGTATCGCGATTACCGGTCGGTGTTTTGTCCGCCGTTGCCAGTTCTCCCTTATCATTGCCACGCAGCTTCTGAACTTAAATCCTAGTCGAAGTTTTTAAGCAACCAAGGTGGTTTAGGGTAGGTCGGGAGGCCAGCGTTCTACAGTTTCGGAATGTATCACACCTCTCCTGGGGAGGATCGGGCGAGAAGCCAGGTGGCGACTCTAGCCCACAGTACGAAGGCAAATCACGATGTCCGATTCGACGGCGGCCATTTCTTTCAACCACAACCGTATGCTGCTACTGCTACTACGATTACTACTACTACGGCTCCCTTCTTTATCTTCTTCTTCTACTACTACTCCTACTAATAGTATTACTACTACGACTACGACTACTAGTACTACTACTACTACTACTACTACTACTACTACGACTACTACTACTACTACTACTACTACTACTACTACTACTACTACTACTACTACTACTACTACTACTACTACTACTACTACTACTACTACTACTACTACTACTACTACTACTACTACTACTACTACTACTACTACTACTACTACTACTACTACTACTACTACTACTACTACTACTACTACTACTACTACTACTACTACTACTACTACTACTACTACTACTACTACTACTACTACTACTACTACTACTACTACTACTACTACTACTACTACTACTACTACTACTACTACTACTACTACTACTACTACTCTACTACTACTACTACTACTACTACTACTACTACTACTACTACTACTACTACTACTACTACTTACTACTACTTACTTACTACTACTACTACTACTACTACTACTACTACTACTACTACTACTACTACTACTACTACTACTACACTACTACTACTACTACTACTACTACTACTACTACTACTACTACTACTACTACTACTACTACTACTACTACTACTACTACTACTACTACTACTACTACCTACGACTACGACTACTACTACTACTACTACTACTACTACTACTACTACTACTACTACTACTACTACTACTACTACTACTACTACTACTACTACTACTACTACTACTACTACTACTACTACTACTACTACTACTACTACTACTACTACTACTACTACTACTACTACTACTACTACTACTACTACTACTACTACTACTACTACTACTACTACTACTACTACTACTACTACTACTACTACTACTACTACTACTACTACTACTACTACTACTACTACTACTACTACTACTACTACTACTACTACTACTACTACTACTACTACTACTACTACTACTACTACTACTACTACTTCTTCTACTACTACTACTACTACTACTACCACGATCACAACGACTACGCCTGCGCCTACGCCTACGATTAGGACTACTACGACTGTGACGACTGCCAGTTCACAATTTTCCTACAACTACAGACTCGGAAACATTTCCGCACCCGACCCCGTCCACCTCGCCGGACATGTGGTCCAACCCCCCCCCCCCATAAAACTCTAGACGGGCTCGCGCCGGGGGTGGAGCCCTGGGTGGATCCCTTCCTTCAATTCGAATTTTACCCGTAGCACCCCGCAGATGCGGATACGAGTGATGGGGCGGTGGGGACGTCGGCAGTTGGCGAGTCTCTGGAAGAGCCCGCCGCAGGCGCCGAATGTTCACACATTATACAACGAGCCCGCCGCAGGCGCCGAATTTTTCGTTAAACAAATGTGGGTAGGTCGCGGCTGGGTCGCGGCTGGGTCGTGGCTGGTTCGCGGGGTGGGTCGCGGGTGGGTCGCAAGTGGGTCGCGGATGGGTCGTTGGTGGGCCTCGTGTGGGTCGCGGATGGGTTGCGGGGTGGGTCACGGGTGGGTCGCAGGGTGGGTCGCGGGTGGGTCGTTGGTGGGTCGCGGGCGGGTCGCGGGGTAGGTCGCGGGGTGGTCGCGGGTTTGGTCGCGGGTGGGTCGCGGGGTTGGTCGCGGGGTGGGTCGCGGGATGAGTCGCAGGGTGGGTCGCGGGGTGGGTCGTGGGTGGGTCGCGGGTGGGACGACGACAAACAACAACAGCAACAACAACGCAACAAACATAATCTTCACCACTGCTCGACGCTTCAGCCTTGCACCCAGGGACAATGAATGACTGTTCGGCCCCCTCACTCTGATTAAGGAGTGGGTGGAGCCTGGTTTGGGCGATTCTGCTGGGGACGTCCTCAGGATCTGCTTGGTTTGGGCCCTGGTTTGGCGGGTTGGGTCGCGAGTGGGTCGCAGGGTGCGGCGCGAGTGGGTCACGGGTGGGTCGCGGGCGGGTCCCGGGTGGGTCGCGGGTGGGTCGCGAGCGGGGTCGCGGGGGTGACGACGACAACAACACAACGACAACATTAACAAGTATAACAACAACAACAATCATTCTAAGGTTGCTCGCTCTTATTTGCCCGTGTGTCCTTCTAAACGAGTGCCCCACACCCTCGATACCAGCCCTTTCTGTCTTCGATCACAACCCCCTTTGGGGGGATCATTTCTCTTCTCGGGGGGCGGCGGGCTTAGACAGGCGGGCAAACCTGAACGGGCGGACGATCCCACGTGGGCGTACATGTGCCCGCCATTGGCATTTGTGTGGGCCCTGTAACAAGATTTTTTTGGAGTGGGAACGAATGGGGGTGGGAGGAAGGGAGGGGGAGGAACGAAGGAAAAGGGAACACGCCAGGAAAGAAGGAGCAAAGAGGGAGGCGGTTGAGTATAGGCAGAGAGAGAGAGGCAGAGAGAGAGAGAGAACGAAACAGAGAGAGAGAGAGAGATAGTAACATACATGTAAGAGAGGTAGAGAAAGAGAGAGACAGAGAGAAGGGAGAGAGAGACAGAAAGAGCGAGGAGGCAGGAGAGGGGAGAGAGAAGGGAGGAGGGAGAGGAGGGAGAGGGGATAGGGCAGAGAGGCATAAGGATGAGCGAAGAGAGGAGGGAGAGAGAAGGGAGGAGAGGAGGGAGGGGGGAGAAGGGAGAGGGAGGAGGAGCAGGAAGGTAAGCGCGTGAACGTTCGAGGACATCCTAGGCGAAACCGCCGTTCCTGATGGAAGTCTCGGGCGGGAGCCCACGACGGGCGGGCGATCCCCTGACGGGCGGGTCGGGCGGGTGGGACACTCAAGCGGGATGCCTGCGTATGGCGAGAGCGCGATTCCTAAGTAATTTGTGACGGCGTCCTTGGCGCAGCGTGTTTCCTGAGCGTCGAAAGCGCGATGTCTGAGTACATTGCATGGACGTCACAGGCGAGAGCGCAGTGCCCAAATAAAATGTGAAGAGTTCTCTGTCGCGGGGCGGGGTTTGGGTTACATCGCGAGGAGTTCTTGATTCAATTGCGAGGAAGTCTTTTGCGGGAGCGCTGTTCCTGAGTAAATTGTGGAGAAGTCTCAGATGGGAGCGGGGGTCCTGACTTAATTGAGAGGCAGCCAGAGGCGGGAGCACCGCTCCTGAGTAAATGGTGAGGAAGTCTCAGGCGGGAGCGGGGGTGCTGAGTAAATTTAGAGGAAGTCTGAGGCGGGAACCGTTGTTGTTGCAATCCGGGGGGCCAGGGGCACAGTTTGAGCAGGAAGACTTTCCCTTTCAAGAACAGGGTGCGAGCGTCGAGGGGCACATTTTGATTTAGAAAAAACAATTTGCACCGGTGAGGGGGGTCAACAATAATTGCTCTTCAGAAGTGAGAGTTCAACAACATCAACATTAACAACGACAACAACAATCCGCACCGCATAAGCTGTTTCCAGCCACGCGTCCAGGGACAGCGAATGACCGCTCGGCTGTCCCATTTTGATTGACAATACACATACATTGCACATGCAACACACACGGTAGCAATACCATCTAAAAACCACAGTTCTTTTTCACAGCACGCATATGACGATTATAACACCCGTCGCAGTCTGTGATGCGACACTCATACAAATCTTACCCAATCCCTGCTCGCAAGTGACTGTGGTACCGGGGCTCTCTTGGGAATCCTCAAGGCTTCCTTTGTTATCTGGACGACCCGCTGGGGAATCCGCACGGATTCCTCCCCATTTCGCGGATTCTTTCCAGGATTCCCCACGGTGCATCAGGTCTCTTCAGAATTCTGTAAATTTTCTTTGTCTCTTTTGGAATTTTGCATGGCTCCCCTAATTTCTTCAAGATCCCGGAGATTCCCTGGCGATTCCGCTGAATATTGTCGGAATTATCCAGAATCCTAATAATGTGTCCGGATCCCGTAATTCCGTCGATTCCGTAAGACTCATCATGTTTCTTTCAACAGTTGCTAGTGTTGCGTTGGTATTCTTCGTGATCTTTCGGAATCCCTCATGTGCTTTCAAGAATCGTCCGGATAGATCAGTTTCCTTCAATTCGCATATATGAAAATAGTCAGATTCCCTGGGGATGCTTGACGATCCCCCAAATTTCGGAGGGTTCTTCCGGATGCTGTGCGTCCCAATAATTCTTCAGGATCCCCCAGATTCTTTCAGTTGCTCAGTATTCCGCAGAATCTTTCGGGATTCCTCAGGATACCGAAAGACTCCTGACGGATTCCCCGGGACGTTTCCCAAGAGCCAGCATACTTCTGATGACTTCCAAGGAGACTCCGCATATTCACGGAAGCCCCCTCAGGATTGTTCAGAATGTTTCCGGATGTGTTAGATTCCCGAATGGTTTTTTTATTACCCATTTGATTAATTCAGGACTCCGCAGATTCCCGTGGGGATTCGGTTGAATATGATGGGATTCTTTTGGGCTCCACTGATTCTCTGGATGCCGCAGGACTCCCTACATTACTTACACACTTGTCAGTTGTGTGTGGATTCCTTATGATCCTTCTGAATCCTTCATGTGCTGTTCGGAATCGCCAAAATCTCCCAGCTTGTCTTGGACATTTCGAATTCAATGTTTTGGGGGATGCCTGATGATCCCATAGATTCCCCAAATATACTTCCAGATTGCATACATATCTTTGGGGTTCGCCAGGATTCCGCTGAATTCCTCAGATCACCTGGCGAGAGATTACGCTGGGATTCTTCTGAATCCTTCAGCACTTTCGTAATCCCATTGGGATTTCCCAGGAGACCGAAGGACTCGTGAGGGATCGTTCAGGACTTTCTAGACTTCGTCAACACTTTTCAGGAGCCCTCAGGCCCTGATGGATTTCAATCAGATTCCGCATGTTCTCGGTGGGCGGATCAGTGTCTTCTGATGACTTGTGGGAATATTCAGGGTATCCTCTGGTGCCCGCACGGTCCTCCAAAACATTTGCGGACATGCCCAAATCCGGAGATTCCCTCGGGAACTTCGGCGTCCATACAAAATCCGATGGGTATCCGCATGGATCCTCTTGGTTATCCCGTTTTTCTTGAATCCGCAGGGCGCCCTCGGGAATCATCGGCTCCCCCTCAGGAGCCCTTGGGATTCGAGAGGGAATTCGCTGGATTCCTCCAGAGGCCCCAGGGTCCCCCCATGAATAATGACGACGATCCTCGGCGGGCGTTTGCTTGGCCAGCCTTCGGCAAACCCAGGAATCTCGGCCCCCCGGCCGAGGCGGCAGGGCCGCGAACCCGCTCTGCGGAGGCCGCCCTGTGGCGCACCGCTCTGCAGAGCACGGTTCGGAACGCGCGTTCGGGGCGGCGCGTTTCTGCCGCCCGTGGCCGTTTCCAGGAGATCCTGCCCCGGGCCCGAGGCGGCGAATCCTCCAACATAGCAGGGGCCGCGCGCCCCCGAAGTCGCGTGCCCGAGGCAGCAGGCCTCTGCAGATCGCGCCGTCGCTGGCCCCCCCGGAACCCGCTCCGCAGACGCCGCCCTGGCGCGCCATAATTTCCCAGGCCTCTTGGCTGCCGTCCATCTCGGCGGCCGAGTTGGGGGTACTCCAGCAAATCCTCTTCCGGAATCGTGGGAATTCGATACGACTTGTTCTTCACAAGTCATCGGGATCTCCCAGGCCCACCAAGAATTCAAAGGATGCCTTAAGGAGCCCGACAGGGTTCCTGGGGGGGCACAATGAGTAAAGTTGCGGCTAGAGCGCTGTTCCGACCCCGACAAGAGGGCCCGCCTCGAGATGACGTATACATTTACGTTCAGTTTTGATGCCCGCGTACTTTGGCCCAAAATGTAGGGTTGGACGCACAATAGCCCAGAAGCGACGTTCTGCCTCTGCCCAGAGGTGATTGTCAGCCTTAGTTGTATTACGACCACTACTAGTACTATTACGACTACTACTACTACTACTACTACTACTACTACTACTACTACTACTACTACTACTACTACTACTACTACTACTACTACTACTACTACTACTACTACTACTACTACTACTACTACTACTACGACTACGACTACTACTACTACTACTACTACTACTACTACTACTACTACAACTACGACTACTACTACTACTACTACGAGTACGACTACCACTACCACTACCACTACCACTACCACTACGACTATTACTTTTATTACTACTACTGTTACTACTACTACTACTACTACTACTACTACTACTACTACTACTACTACTACGACCACTACTACGACTACGACTACTACGGCCACCTCTACTACGACTACTACGGTTACTACTACTAGTACTACTAGTACTACTACTAGTTTTAGTACTACTACTACTACTACTACTACTACTACTACTACCACTACTACTACTACTACTACTACTACTACTACCACGAGTACCACTACTATTACGACTACTACGACTACTATTATTATTATTATTATTACGACTACGACTACTACGATTACGACCTCTACGACTGTTACCACGAGCACCACTACTCTTACTACTCCTCCTGCTACTACGGGTATTATTACTACTACCACTACGACGGCGAGTATTACGGCTACTACTTCTGATCTTACGGCTACTACGACTACTACGACTCTCTAGCACCGTGGTTGTTAACGTTATTATTGTTACGACTACCACTACCACGACAAAAACTGCTACGACCACTACTTTCACCATTGCTGCTGTCACGACGACGACTACTGCGACTATTACTACTACTACGGTCACTACTGCTACTACTACTACTACTACTACTACTACTACTACGATTACGGCTACTACGAGTACTACTACGTCTATGTCGACGAATTCAATTACGACTACGACGACTATGGTTGATACTGGCATTCTTTCATCATTATTATTTCTGCTGCTATTGCTACCATAGGCACTGCTACCACTACAACTACGATTACTGACGCTATGAGTGAAACTGCGATTACAACGACTGCAACTGTTTTTTTTTTATTTCTTCTACCACTACGACTATTATTACGACTGGTACGACAAAGTATTGCTATTGCTACCACTACGACGACGACCACAACAACAACGACTACTCTTACTGCTGCGACTACTCCTACGACTATGACGACGACTTCTAGTAGCAGTACTACTTCTAATACTACGACGACTGCTACTACTGCTACATATACTAATCTTACGAGTGCGAGTACTACGACGACGACGATTACTACTAGTACCCGTAATCCGGCTACTATTGTTATTATCTTTCGTATTACAATTATTTTGGCGATGAGATCTAGTTTCAGGTGCTATTGTTACTACGGCTTCTACTACTAATCCTACTACTCCTTTTGCTACTACGACTACTACTTGCATTACTACTACTACTATTGTTGAGACTACTACTACTATCAATAGTATTACACTACGACTACCACTGCTACTACTACTACTACTACTACTACTACTACTACTACTGAGGCTACCACTACGATTATTAACACAACTACAACCTACGAATATTTCAAGGTGATTACCACGCCCGTGCATATTATGTTTACGACCAATACTACTACGACGACGGCTATGTCAAATACGGCTGCAACCAGTAGTAGCAGTACTCCTACAGCGACGACCACTAGTACTACGGACCCCAACTATTAATAGTACTAAAATTACGACTACTATTACTACGGTGTTTTTACTACGATCGCGACTACGACTACTGCTTCTATTACTACTACTACTACTACTACTACTACTACTACTACTACTACTACTACTACTACTACTACTACTTGTGCTACTACTTCTACTACTATTACTACGTCTGCTACTACTACTACTACCCCGCGTACCACTAATTTTTGCGATCACCACTACTGCTGGTATTACTGCTAATTGTTGCTATCACTGATACTACCACTACTTCGGCGACTACCACTACCACGGCTACCACTATGTCTACTACGATCACGTCGTTCTCTAAAGTTGCCACCACTACCATTAGTCTTACGACAGCTACTACGAGTACTATCACCACTAATTCTACAATCTGCAATATTACTACTGCTACTGCGACTACTACTGCTGAAACGGTTACGACTGCTACTGTTAATAGTGATACTATGACTACGATTTCGATTACGATTGCGACGGTTATGGTTATTATTGGTGGGATCGCACCACTACTTCTACTAGTACTACTACTACTACTACTACTACTACTACTACTACTACTACTACTACTACTACTGCGGGCATTGCTACCACTACAAGTACCAGCCCAACTGCCACTACTAATACCGCAACTGCTGCTAGTACTATTGCTACTATTTCTGCCGCTGCGAGTACAACTACGAGTAGTAAGAGAGGCTACTACTGGTACTGTTACCACTACGGAGGCGACCACACAAACTACTACTACCACGACTCCTGCTACTACTACTACTACTACTACTACTACTACTACTACTACTACCCCTACGACTACGAAGACTATTACCAGGACTACGACGACGACGACGACTACTACTACTACTACTACGACTACTACTACTACTACTACTACGACTACTACTACCACTACTATTGCTACTACGACTACTACGACTACTACTATTGCTGGTACGAGTGCCACGGTGACTCGTAGTAGTTATAGTAATAATATGTTGATTGCTGCTAGTCTTAACGTAAAACATCCACAGCGGCGATTAGTTTTAGTATTAGTACGACCATCCATACTACTAGTACGATTTGTATTACTAATCTTACTGTTCCTATAGCTACTACTACTCATACTACTAGAGTATTGTTGTTTTACACTACGACTACTGCTATTATTATTACGTCTGTTGCGTTTGCTACTGCAACTACGACCTACGAAGATTGCAATATTGTTATCACGACTATTCTTAATTTGATTACTACTATTACTACTACTACTACTACTACTACTACTATTACAGCTACTTTGGCCACGGCTACTACTGTAGTAGTGGTACGATTGCTACAGCGACGATAACTAGCACTGCCATTCCTACTACTACTACTACTACTACTACTCCTACTACTACTACTACTACTACTACTACTACTACTACTACTACTACTACTACTACTACTACTACTACTGCTGCTGCTGCTGCTGCTGCTACTACTACTACTACTACTACTACGACTACGGCTACTACTACTACTACTACTACTACTACTACTACTTTTTCTATTACTACAATTACTATTACTACTACTACGACCAGGACTACTAATACGAGCACGACTTCGACTACCCTTACGACTGCTTCACGACTACGCCCGCTACTACTACTAGTACTACTAGTAATACTATTACTAATGCCGCCACACGATTACTGACACCACCACCACCACCACTTTAACGACCAGGTCCGCTCCCCACTACACCTAGTACTATCGCCACTAGCTCTGCAAGTAACACTGCGCTACAACTCTGACTGCTCCT